GCCGGAATATATGAAGGGGAACCCATATATTTTTACGGGATATCGAGCCCGCTATACAACCAGTATGTGCTTTCGAAGCCTCTTTGCACTTCACAACGAGACCATTAACGTCTGGTCACATGGTGTGGGTCTGATCTTATTTGGGGTGTTATCGATTGTGGTTTTTGATGCCTTATTATTTACCCATGCGGAATTTGCGCATTATTTTATCTACGGAACTTTCTGCTTTGCCTGTATGATGTGCATGGGATGTAGCAGCATCTATCACTTGTTTTTGGGCCACGAAAATTCATTGCTGTCGTCATTAATGCAGCAGCTGGACTATTATGGTATTAGCGTGCTTATCGTGGCAAGTTTTCTTCCACCTCTCTACATTGGCTTTTATTGCGAGCCATTCTTTCAGGCGCTCTACATGGGATGCGCGTGCGTCTTTGGTGGACTGTGCCTGGCGATGGCCGCGTTGCCTTCTTTGCGCGATGCGAAATTTCACTGGTTACGGATTATGACTTACGTTGCAACGGTGATGTGTGGATTGGTGCCAACTTTACACTATGTTTTTTCTACGCCCCATAATGCGGAAACGATGCAGACGTTTGTGGGCGTATTTCTCATGTTTCTTTTTTACGGGATGGGGGTGCTTTTCTACTGTCTGCGGATTCCCGAGCGTTTTTACCCTGGCGAGTTTGATTTTTTTCTTAACAGCCATCAAATATGGCATGTGTTTGTTCTTGTGGCGGCCTGCGTTCATTTCTTTACGTGCATATCGATTTATCAAAAGTGGGTGCTGAGCAGAGGTGCCTGTTAAATTGAGCGACAAATATAAATACATCTAAGCGCACATGTGTTTTTTTTTTTTTTTTTTTTTGTTTCTGTGTGTCTGTGTGTGCGTCTGCGTGCGGGAAGGGAGGGCCCATTACTTGCGTGTATTTCCTTTTTTTTTTTTTTTTTTGGCTGTTCTTTGATGTGCGATGTGCCTTTTATTTGTGAATGATGTCTGTATTTCTTTCTCTTTTTCTTTACTGTTGCTTTTTATTTATTTATTTGTTTGTTTTCAAATTTATACGCGACATCCCTCACTTTCACGAATTGCACACAACCACAAGCAACACCTGCTTTAAACTATAACCATTGCTTGGCTATAATTGTTGTTGACGTGGGATGCCACATGCTAAGAGTGGCGGGGATGGTGGTGTTACGGTGGGACTGAAGACCAGTGAAGGTGGCACCGTGAGTCAGCAGGGGAGAAAAAAAGAATTGCCGTCGGATACCGCGAAGTTAATGCCATACAACGAAAATGCCGATCTCCCATTGTACACGATTGATCAGGTACCGGAACATCTTTGCGACAATCGGTACATATTAACAGGATACCGTGTGGGGTACACGGCAAGAATGTGCATAAATAGCATAATAGCTCTTCATAACGAAACGTTCAATATTTGGACCCATCTTGTAGGTTTTTTGGCGTTTCTTGTCGTTGTTGTGTGTTTTTTTGTGATTGTTCTCATTCCAGCGTCGCACCAACAGCAACATGAGGGAAACGCATTCTCAAACACCTCTAGTGAATCAAAGGGGCTGACGTACTTTCTATTTGCCGCCTATTCTTTTGGTTGCTTAATGTGCATGTTGTGCAGTACGGTATTTCACACGCTGCTGCCCCACAAAAGTAGGAAAGTGTATTCATGGGCGCATTCTTTGGACTATTTTGGTATCACATTTCTTGTGGTTGGTTCGTTTCTTCCCTTTTGTTACTTTTCATTTGCGTGTGAACCGTTTTGGCGTTGGACTTATTTGAGCATGATTTCTTTTTTTGGCGTTTTTGGCGTGCTGGGACCGTTTTTCAAGGAATGGACGCAGCAGCAATATGCACGATCCAAAATCTTATTTTACGTCTGCATGGTAGGTAGTGGACTTTTTCCTATTGTTCACATCTATCTTCTTCTCCCCGGTAACGTTTCATCATCTTTTGTAGAGGGTTTATTGTTGATGATGACATTGTATGGTGTGGGAGTGTTTGTGTATGCCTTTCAGATACCTGAATTTTTCTTTCCTGGAAAGTTTGACATATATCTTTCCAGTCATCAAATATGGCACGTGTTTGTTCTGGCAGCCGCGTTTGTGCACTTTTTCAACACTGCCTCCATTTACGTCAACTTTCGGCAAATAAATCTCAGCTGCTAACGGCCGAGGTAGTGGTAGGACGACAGGTGCGGAATGGATGGATCTATTTGTCTTTCTGTGTGTATTTGTGTGTTTGTGTGTATTTAATTAGTTTTTGTGTAGTTGACGAAAAGGAAAAGTTTTTTTTTTTTTTTTTTTTTTTTAAGCATGTAGGTATTTCGGAATCAAGCGAAGAAGAAGGTGTGAGGCGTGTTAATTATTATTATTATTATTGTTGTTGTTGTTGTTGATCTTCTTCTTTGTGTTTCGATGGAAACGGTAAAAAAAAAAAAATATATGTAATTATTTTTTTTTTGTTTTTTTGTGTGTTTCTCTCTCTCTCTTTTCCCTGGCGGCGTCGCTCACATGATGAGAGATGTGGCCACGTGACGCCACCGGCCTCATGCGTTTGTATGAGGACTCGTCTTTTTTTTTTTGTTGGCCGGTGAGAATGAAACTGGGGAGGAATGAAACGAAACAAAAAAGGGAGGATGGACGTTTGTTTGTGTTGAGTCCCGCATTTTGTTGTGTTATCTCCCTTTGAAGCGATGCCGCGTTCCTGCTGATGAATCCCCACGGTTTTGTGAGTTTCCTGCGCTTTGATTTTTTTTTGCGGTCATTTCATACATGCATGCATGTGTGCGTTGGGTGTGGAGGGTGCACGGTGATGAATGGGGATGCGTCTCTCTGCTGTGTTTTTTCTCTGCTGCTTTCAAGGAAGAAGAGAGAAAAAAAAAGGGACTGGTAGAAGAAAGTTGTCGTTTTGTTGTTATTATTGCTTATTATTCATAGCTTTCCTCGGGGAAAAATAATACATTCATGGCCTCGGCGGCGGCTCCGCAGGATGCCGTGCATCGCGTGGAGGGTGCTTTGCGGCGATGGGAGCAACATCGACAGAACCAACAGCGACTGCTGCGCCTCCTAACAACAATTGTCGAGACGTTGGAGGCCACAAAACACCATTCACATGAGAAGTGTGCGGCGATCGCCCCTCCCGAGACGCTGCCGCTCCCCGTCATGAACCCATTCCCGTCGTCATCATCTTTGTCGTTGTCGTCGTCCATTACTGTGGGCGCCGCTCGTAATGGGCATGGCGTGGCGATAAAGCTTGATCCGTCTACACAGGTCGTGCTCGGTGATGTTCTGCGCACTCTAGCAAGATCACAACAATTCATTGCAGTTGCATGCTCGAGATTCTCCTGGCGTGTACAAACCATTAATGAAGATGTGCAGCGCCTCTGTAACGTTTTAAGGGACGCAACTTCTCTTGTGCGAAAACAACTGGATGTGCAGAGGAATGGACGTGCATTGGAGGCTCTTCTCTTGGCCGCGCTGGCAACCATTGTGCGTTCGGGTTGTGATGACACTTCTGACACGGCAGAGCACCCTGAAAAGGAACGGCCAAAAGAACAACAAGAAGAAGAGAAAGTGGAATGTCCTCTTGCAGTGCCAAATGCCTTATTCCACAGCATCTCCTTACGGCCGTATTGGCGAAAAGAAGAGCGCACATTCTCTGCTGCTATTCATGACGTCACTGGCGTCTACGACTGTTCCGCTTGCACCACATGCAACCTGCTACGTTCTTCACTTCTGGAGACGCTTTCTGCACAACGGTGCTTTCCTTCGCCGCAAGTCTACCGTGCACGGCGTGCGGCACGTTATGCGTGGTATTGTGAAATGAACGAGGCCACGGCACGGCGTCGGGCGGCGCAAAAGTCCAAATGGGAGCGTCACGAAAGAATGACTGAGGCTCTTTCAGAAGGTGAATGGGCTACGCTAACCGCAGAGGAAATGAAATAAGAAGAAGAATTACATGTGTTGCACTCATCGTCACTCTTCTTTTTATTATTATTATTATTTACATGTAATACATTCATAATGTTGTTGTTTTGGTTGCGGAGTGGGAGGAATTGTCTTTTTTTTTTTTTTTTTTTTTTTTCTTCACAACTGCATCGGGGTTGGCTGAGCGGGTGACGTTTGTTGTATGTGAATTGCGATAGTTCCCTGCGTCGCTCTTCTCTTTTTTTTTTCTTTTTTTTTTTTATATATTTTTTATATTTTTTCTTTTTTACATTTATTCCTGATTGTGTTGGAAGGATCTCTGGGGTTTGTGTACATCACGTGTGTGCGTGTTTGATGCTGCTGCCGCTGTGCCTCTCCGTCCCAAACCGAACTGCTCTTTCTTACTGCTTGTGGTCCCACATGCACACACCTGTCGTAGTAGTTTAATACAAACAAGTAGGGTAGAGAAAGCAAGACAAATTCCAGTTGTTTTATTGACGCATAAAGCACGCACGAGGACAAAGGAAAAAAGAAAAATAAATAAATACAAAAAAGAAAAAAAAAAGGAATTTTTTTTTTTTTTTGAAAGGCCACGAAAGAAACAAACAACAGGAACAACAACAACAACAACAAAAAAAGAACAATAAGGATAGGCGTTTCATTTCCTCTTTTCTTTTCTTTTTATTTATTTATTTTTTTTTTTTTTTTTTGTTGTTGTTTTGTTTTATTTTTGCCTTTTTTTTTAGGCGTTGGGAGACTCATTAGGGAGGCACGCGCTCATTT